CTTTTTTGACATGTATTATTAAGCCTATAAAGGTGTTTAAAATCTAGTATCCTAAAATCATCTGATTTGGAAGTCATCGACCTAAAGCCTGCTATATAAATCATTTAGAAAGTTTATAAAAGAGAATGTAGAAAGAAAAAAATAATACTTTTGAAAATCAGAAAAAACATGTGCATTAAAAAAAAGAAGCAAAAATACTAAATGCCCTAGTTAAAGCTCCAAATATTTGTTTGAGAAAAATTAACTTGATGAAAGATAATTAACCTAGTTGAATCTTGGAGGTCGAAATAATCAAATAATTAGAGAATCCTTATTCATTGATGTGTTGACTTGCAATTAGTGACATCCATTTGAACTAAAGAGAGTGAGAATAATAATGAAAAATTCAACTTTAGATTACACATTGAGAACAAGTGAAAAGAAAAAAAATTGAAGGTGTGTGAATCATAAGAGAGATAATATGATACATTTGACCATGGAGGATCAAGAATTGAAACAACTTATAGATTCATTGTTGACGAGTTAATTCTTCACATACACACATCGATTTTGCCCAAGAAGAGTGAATTTTGATTTTGGCATTGTAACCTAGAAGTTGCTCGTAGATTTAATATCATAATTTCAAATCCTGAGGTAAACAACCAAATTATCTAACTAAAACATTTTGCGTGTTTTTGTGTTTGTTAAGTTATGGTTTTGTTTGAGGACAAAGAAATATTTAAGTTTGGGGTTTCCAATAAGTTTATTCTATACACTTATTTGGACCAAAAAAATATAGACATTTTATAGTTCTTTTAAGCAATTATAGCCTCATTTATTGTATATTTCACTAGATAAAACTCGATGATTGAAAGTGAAATTGAGAAAAAAAAAAAAAAAAGGAAAAAAAAACAGAAAAAAAAGAATGGCGAAGAATAAAGTTTGAGGACCAAATTGAAAATATCCAATGGTTAATTTGAACCACAAGAGATACTTTAAAGATTGTTAAGAGTTAATTGGATGCAATTAGAAGTAAAAAAAATAAATGGAATATGATCAGAATATTAACATAAATCGATTTCAATCACACAAGATATCTTCCAGATTTTTAGTCAAAAATTGAGACCCATTTTTAGCATAGTAAACTTTATTCTACATTAGAAAAATTGTTTCCCTTTGAGTTAGCTTTCCAACGTACTTTGAATCAACTCAATTGGATATCAGGAGACAAAGTTATGAACAAAATATCAACTACTTTACGGAGACAAAAAAATCCATGTGCGAAGCCTTATTCGAGTGGAACTCTTTTGGAAACAAATTTAGACGTAATTTTCAACTAATTTTCGACTCTTGTAAGTACCTAATAGCAGAATACATTAAAAGACATCTTCGACACTTCTCATATACATTTCATACTACAACTTATACTACAATACTCATCAATTATTATCATCAAAAGAAACAAATTTCATAGTTTTTGTGAGAGAGTTGAAGGAGATTTGCAAGAAATCAATCAAGTGAAGATTTAAACTTGATTTTTTGGGCAAAGAAGAGAAGGCTGAAGTGAAGATTCATCGAGAAACCATTGAAGATATTCAAAATTTCAATATTCATCTTCATCTTCTCAATTTATCAAAAATTCGGGGTCATGTCTTTATATAGTTTCAATAGATGTTCTAGCACTTGTTAATAAATTTATCATATTGTATCTTTCATTGAGAGATAGAAGGATCACATGAGGAGAATATATTTGATCGCTATCGAGAGAGACTTTCAATTAAATTATTAACATTGACCAACATGAATGATTTCAAATTTTCACTGTAATTGTTATACTAAAAATGGAATAACAAGGGGATTCAACATCTTAATAATGCATCTCACATAATTGAAAAATACATTTACTTGCTTTCACTGGTTTAATTAATAATTTAGAGATTAGTTAGAAAAATTACAACAACTTTTTTGCTATTCAATTAAAGTTGCAATTAATTTTAACTCGATCAAATACATAATTCTCGTGGGTATGACACTATATTCACTACTTTACCACTTGTTCATGATCCCATCCACTTTCGGGAAATCAAACGATCACTAGCCATTGTATACCAGACGTTAGAACGGATAAAAAAGTGACCGTTACATGATCCGAATGTTCGTTTGGACATCCTGATGTCCAGATCATATGAACGTTCAATACTGTGTTCTGACGTCTGCATTTCATAAGATTAGTCCATTTTGACTTTGATTGGTCCGACGTGAATAATGTAATGGTATTTTTTAAAATATGATATAAGTTCAACTATAGTTTTGAAAATCAATTTTACTTTTGATAGAAGATCATTTTTTGCAAGTGATGATCAAAATAACTTTTAGCAAATAAAAATGATTTTTGACCTTTCGTTATTAGTGCTAAAAATTGAAGTGTTTATACCTTTACAAGTTAACACAAACGTCTAGTGTAATACCTTCCTTCGACGTTTGACTTTTGAAACTCTTTGTCTCGAATGATTTATCTTGAATGCTCGATTTTCATCACTTCATTTTAAGTCCGATTTGTAATGTGAAGGTCTTGATGACGAGCGATCTTTTTGTCCTTGATCGATTAATGTTACGTTGAATGCTTTGAACACTTAAAACTCAAATGTTAGAGACGAAATTAACTTGTTGTTATGATCAAAATATTTAAGGATAAAGTCAACGATGGTCAACACAAAGACACTGTAGAGACAAAGTCAAAAGGTAGGTGCAAGTTTAAAAAGATTATTGCATGATATTAATGTGACAAGTCGTTGTATACGAAAAAGAACATTGATTTTTCAAATGATAAGAAAGAAAGAGGTTAGAACCGCATCGAAAAAGCCACAATATTAGCACTAAGAAGCAATGGCGTAAAACCCAAGTTCAAATTTTATTATACATTTCCTTTTTCTATGTATTCTCCATTCCGAGATGGGTAAGTTCCCTTTTATTCCTTTAGCCGGAGATTAGGTTAGCCC